CTGTTGTCTGTCTCCTCTGCACACAAGCTTTATTTCAAAACTTGTTTCTAAAACACTTCCATTAACTCCTGAAGCTTTGAGTTGACCTGAGCAACTTCAGCTGTGTTCAGACTGACACAGACACACTTTCCTTTCCTCATTTCTGGTCTTCACCTCAAGATCAAATTAATATAGAGTCATCACTAACCCTTGAAAATGTCCTTTTTTACATATTCAGCTGACATGATTAGTCAACGACGTACTACATTGGTTGTTGATTGATTTATTGTTCAAAGTAACTTTTTAACAGATACAAAGTTTAATCATTGTATTCCTACAGTTCAAGTCTTCATTCAACAGTATTTTGGTTTCAACTGCTTAGAGAAAAATACATATTAAGGTAAGGCATTACTTGGGGAATATTTCCTCTGACACGCCAACACTGTCTGGTGTCCCCTTTGTCGTATCTGTCATTTTCATTTAAATATGTTTACGCAGCCTAGAAAAAAATACAGAAAGACATATGGTGGGGCGCAAATGGCCTAGCGGTTAGGTCGCACCCATATACGGAGGCTATGGTGCTCCAAGCGGGTTCAGGTCTGGGCTTTGGCTCATTTCTCGCATGTCATTCCCCACTCTCCCCCTGGTTTCCTACTCTATCCACTGTCCTGTCAAATAAAAGGCAAAAAAGTATGTCTTCAAAATATGTCTTCATAAAAGAAAGAATGAAAGAAATATGGTTATAAAAAAAATAGTAACATGGGACAAAGTATGAATTTTTCATGCTTAGAATAAACCATGCTAAAAAGGGTTCAATGTTAAAAACAAGGACAGTCACACTGGTAACATCTCAAGTGTGTTACATTGCAGATTTTCTCACTGATACAACAGTTCACTTAGTGCTGTGTGCAATTGGAAGTGTGTTGCTAAGGCTCACAAAATGGTCCACCTGAGGTCAACTAAGTGAAACAGGAATTTTCTGAACGGCTGGTTTGCTTTGAAGTTTTGGAGATTGCTGACATGTAACTCGAAGTTCACCTCCCTGACACTTAATTGTAGGAAAACAATTCTGGAAAAACCCACCAAATGGATACTCGAACAGTTAAACTGATTGAGCCATGCTGCTTCTTTGTGTGATTATCATTAGACTCTCGTTAGGCTCCCAGAAGCAGATCAAAGTACCTGAACTGAAACAAAAAAGGGAGTAACCACAGTCATAAAAAGTAATGATTATTCTGAACATTAATCGTGAACTACTAACCCAGTGACCTCTTGTAGTTAAACGTGCTTAACAGCTGAGCTCGATCACACTGATAGGCACCCGGAAGACGTCAGCTCTTCTGTGTCTTATAATGTACAAACAGCTTCAACATGGAGACAGGCTGCGTTTAAACGCTGTCAAGGCTGAGAGAAATGGGAGTGGGAGTGTTTATCCCATGCATTTGTTTAACTCTTTAAAAAGGTAAACACCCGGGAAGAGAGGGTTTCACTAAACAGAATTGTTCAGCCTAAATGCTCTAATGTTTTCTTTCTTGCCTGTAGAATTTGAATCCCTGTCACATAAATGAAGCTCAGGAGATGTTTGCTCAGCTTAGCTCTAAGAGTTTAAGGGACACAATAAGCCTGGCTTTGTCAAAAGGGAGCAAAACCTTCTTATCGCATCACTAAAGCTCATCCAGTAACATCTAATATCTACACTCTGTGGGGTTTCATTGTGCGTTTCAAATTGGCTGCCAGCTCTGCTATGGCCAAGAAATAGTCCATCTTATAACCCCGTGAAATATGAATATGTAGTTCTTGCACTTTGATTTAGTTAAATCAAGTATTTAATGAAATAGAATGTGAAGCTTAATTGGATTTAGGGTCTTTTTTGAAATTTTTAAAGTGGTCTTGTGAACTCTTAAACAAACAGATCTGGTGATAAAACACCAAATAAAACTGTTTCACTTTTGTACACTGAAAGTTGAACTGATTCTATCTTTCGCTAACTTAATTCTCTTTTTCCAGAAGTGAGAGGGCTGAAATTCTCAATCTGTTTGAATGATGATGATGAATTATTTTCCAGTGATGGCCTTAGCTTATGGAAGGCCGATTATCTGCGTTTAACAGACAAAATCTGTGACACATGTGGGTTAAACTTAAATGACAAGATAATTGTCACAAAACATGATTTCAATCACACACACATGATATTGCCTCAGAAAGAGACAGACACAAGCTGCAGAGAGTTCAAAGACAAGTGAAGAAGAACAAGGGGAAAAAAGATGAATAGAGCAGAGTGTTCTCATTAAAGTTCATTTTAAATATCTTGATAAATCCACTGAGATGCTCAATGTAACTTAAAGCTAAATGTCAGGACAGTGCAACAACAGGCGCTCTGTTCTGGGTGGCATCTGACTGTCAAAGCAAGATAAGGATGTGCAGTTTTTGCCTCTGTGTGTGTGTGTGTGTGTACACAGTTGCAAGTTGTATTGTATCTGCTGTGTGCACTTGTAACACATGATGGCAGGATGGAGGTTTGACTGCAGAGGGGAAGAGAGAAATAAAACACTGAGCAGAATCACAGATTGCTTACAATTTGGGCAGTAAGCACATTCCGGCCATATCACACACATACTCACACACACTATACATGCACACTCATTTTTAAATGGGGGAGATCAAACTTGATCATAGTTTACCCTCCGCACACAGATTACAGTTATCGAGATAAAAACAAACAATAAGCAACCAGAGAGAGATGCAGCGATAAAAAGTAGGAAATTAAGAACCAGAAAAGGAGCAGACTTTTGTTCACAGATAGGACTGTTGTCGTAAACTGGCAATGTGAACTTGAGACAGATGCAGAGAAGGCAGCTCTTTTAATGTTCTTAGTGTCATATTTTGGGCTTGAAATGACTCTGGAGCTGGGAAGTTATTCATTTTAATAATTTATCAAGTAAACTACAGGATGATCTTAATATCTCCATTAAACTTCAAAGGTCCTCACATTGGGCCTTGAGGAACTTTGATGGAGTTTTCTCATTTCTTTTTATATCTTGCTAATATTTGGATGTTTTCTTTTTGGCAGCCTTCCTAGACAATTACCTTAAGCTGTGGTTTCAGTCATTTCGTAATCCTTTTTCTTTCTGAATTCAGAGCACTAGTCTTTCACCACTGTTTTCACTTTTGAAAGGCTGATGATTAACCCACAGATCCTGTAAACTATCACACCAGATGATAAATACTGGTGATGATGAACTTTTTCTTAGTCAGCTGAAGACACTGTCTACCGAGTAATAAGCCTTTTATCATCTTGTCTTTGATTTCATAACAATATGCTTTAATGTGAGACAGACTTAATATGTTGTGCCTGAGTTACTCTGACCTTCCAGAGAAGTCCCAAGACGTCGCAAGGAACCCTTAACTAACTCTGCTGTTCGACAGGGAAAAAACGTCTTCTTTCTATTTACTAAATCAGATAATATTCAGCAGATGTGTGCAGAAAACCTGTATAACGTTATTTCAGTTAACAGTACTGGAAATAGCGAAGATATGGCCTGAAAAACACGGACAAGAAATTTAAATTACAAAAAGGTATAGTGAGCATTTGCTGATACACACTATCGGAGCATTTATGGGGAAGGAGAAAACATAGAACATCTCTAGAAATCCTTTCCATTCCTTCATAGCAAAATTTTCATCAAGATTTCCCTCTACCGAGTTTATCCCTGAAGCTTAGGATGTTTTTCCCCTTAACTGGACTGACTTGGACAGTGGACTCCTCATAAGGAGTGCACATGCATGAACATACATTTGGAGTGTAGTGGGGGTTGAAGAGCAGAACGGTCATTATCTTACCTGCTTGACACTCACCAGATGGATAAATGACTGGATGCACACACACACACACACACAAATAGATTCCTATAGGAATTTCACCAAGCTGTTTTCCATCCCTAAAGCATCTACAGAAGGTTAACACATGCAGTGATAGATGAGCATCCTGGACACCCTCTCTTCTTTCATCATCTAAACTACAACCTCCGTCGGCCTTGTGGTGAGAGAATGTGACACAAACAGCTGGAAGATGTCAATTCTCTTAATGGCTTTGTGTCTTCTCTGGAGTCCAAAGCAAGTCTGTACAAGACGATTTGTTCCCTTTACAGCGCGCACACAAGAGAGCCCACTTTCAACACACACATACAAACACATGCAGACACACACACACACACACACACACACACACACACACACACACACGCACACACACACCTGGGTCTCTAGTTTCCAAAACAGGATTCTAACTGTCACACAGAGAGATTCATTAACAATGGTCTTTGCTCTTACTTCCCCCCTAACCCTATGTTTAAAAAAACGAAAAGGCCAGGGGGTTGCAGAAAGAAAAATACGTAGAAAGCATGAATGCGGTCACAGAGCATGGAAATTATTCATCATGCAAGAAGAAAAAAAAGAGACAACATGGAGCGACATACATAACATACAAACACACACACACCAAATATGACCTACAGACTCCTAAAGCACTGATGGATTCATATTGTTTGCCCCTGCAGATCACCTCTGTGAAATCCAGATAGTGAGATAAGCTAGTGTGTGTGTCTTGCCTTAACCCAAATGATTTCAGCCTTCATACTAACTATTGGGAAAGACTGTTTGGCCTGTTTGAACAAGATAGAGAGTACTGTCTTGTGATATTTCACTGCCCCTGGATGAGGTAAACGCTTCTCTAGCAGAAAATTTTGCAATTAACTTTTTATACAGATACCAACATTTCAACAGGTGTCAGTAACTTATTATGATCTTTGCATGAAGAGGCAAAATTGAATTAAAGGACTGAGCTTTAGACCATGTGTATTATGTGTCACCATCCTATTTCCCCCCCAAAATAGAGTTTTTAAACAATCTGGAGTCATTTATCTTACATATTTACGCACACCAAAGCAGCCATACGGCCTTAAACCAACAATATGTTTTAAGCCATTTCAGGAGAGAAGAAGATAGCAGGGGTTAGCACTCACCAACAAAGACACAGAGAATATCCACCGCGATCAGGATCAGCTTCTTCCCTTTCTCCGTCATGTTTCCTCTGCTGCCGCTTCACTTTCATACATTAATCGCGTAATGGAAACAGGGCAGGTTTGAAAGCGCCTGGGGTAACTATGGAAAAAGTAGGCAACAATCAGGAGAGGTCGACCTGCTCGTTCTTCCGGCTCCGCTCCTCCGTGCAGTCTACCTGCCTGTCTACCTGCCTGTCCTCCTGTCTGTCTGTCTGTCTGACTGCACGCTGCGCTGTTCCAGGTGAGCAGCAGAGGACGCGTTGCGTTGCGCGGCCTGTCCCGCCTTTTACGCACAGGGGAGGGGGCGTATCTCCGCTCAAACATGGCTCTAGACACAAAGGATCAGGTTTTCCTGAAATTCTCGGTTTTCGAAGGAGGAAACAATTTATTTTCTTTCTTGGCCTACTTTCTCTTTCCCTGTTTTGCTCATTTTACCTTTTTAGCTACATTGAAGCAGCAATAAAACACACGTGTTTTGGCATGATTCAGTACTCAGCTCTCAGTCTGGTGAGCAAAACAAATATTGCCAGATAAAGAAGTTTGATTTCGTCACGGGATTTAAATAAACTAAAAGGTATCTTCACAGTTTGGTTTGGTAAACAGGTCTGCCTTTAAACTGGAAAGTAATCGCTGTTATGAAGCCAAAGTCACAATTTAGGCATGCGGTCACAAGTTTTGATTTATTGGCAGCAATTGCAAATTATAATGCTCATGTACACAAAAATGTTGTAAACTGAAATGACGCCAACCCTGAAGTAATGGCTACCAACAAGTGACTCATTATAATGGTTTAGCTTAAAGAAGTCTGCATTAGACTTAATATGTGTGGTTTCAAAGCAACCAGACATCGCTGACAAACTTCTGAGGAGGCAAGACGGTCCAAAAACAAATGGATGTTCAATGTAAAGAGAAAAGTCAGGACAGTGTATAGACAAAGAGAAGCAGCCGCTTCTGAGAGACACTGACACAAGGGATGTAACGATATGAAGAACACTGGAAGAAGAGTTGTTTGGTTGCATGCAATGACATGAGTCTGTTTTGCATGTTAAGTTAGTTACCTCAAGTTAAAGGTTTTGGAGCTGCTGTGGCCCAGTGGGAAGAGTCAGTCGTCTCTCAATCGGAAAGTTGGGGGTTTGATCCCACGCTCCTGCAGCCACATGTCCAACGCGTCCTTGGCGAGGCACTCTACCCCGAGTTGCTCCCGCTGCTCCCGGCGGCGTATACATGTGTGTTTATGGGATTACTTAATCCTGATGGACACTTTGCTGCCATCGTTGTGTG